TATATATATATATATATATATATATATATATATATATATATATGTGTTTTACACAATCATGATTTAACAAAACATAAGCTCTAAACCATAAAAAAGTTGACCAACCATAGTCAATTATTCTTGGAACATTTACTTGTGGCTGGTTAATTTCCTTATTAGAACTTACGTTTCTTTCTAAGAAGGTTATGGGTAAATACTTATAAACCAAATATATAACACAATAGTTTCATATTTCTATTGTATATTTATTTTATAGACTTACCTGTAATAAAGTACAAGAGGGCCAGAGTACAATAAACTTAGAATCAGAGGAGACTCTAGAACCAATGACTTCTAATTCAACCAATATTATATGTGATAGGATAAATGACAGCGACATAGGAAATAATATTGGTTTAAACTATATATATAATAATATATTCTATCCACACATACAAGTGATATTAATTTTATCTAAACTATATATACACGCATTTTGCAGGAATCTACATCCAAACCAAAGGCACAAAGTAGGTTGGGAAAATTGTCTGAAACGTGGCAAAAAACAATGGAGAAACTTCTAAATGAAATTCAAGAAGAAAAAAAAACCAAAAATGATATACACAGACAATTGCTAGAAGAATATAAAGCAATGAGAAAGAATCATGAAGAAGTTATGAAAGGCATACAGGAACAACTAATACAGGCCAATAAACTGAGACAAGAAAGGAATGAACTATTGAAAGAAATTTATCTCGGAAATAAGGAAAGTCAATGAACTTAAACTTTTATATTATTAGATTATAAGTTCTATAATATATATAATATTACAGATGTATAAAACTGTTTATGTTTCATGGTTTATGTTTCCACGGTAGCAACGATTTATTTTAATTTGTTTTATTAATTATTTTTTATTATTAATTTTATTGTACTTTATTGTAAAGTTTTCAGTTTATACTTGGAAATGTTATATTTTTGAAATATCTGTTTGCTTTTGTTCCACTTTTTATTTATTTTTGTTCCACAGAAAATGTTGATTCTATTGTTGCAAACAAATGTAATTTTACATTTGTTTGCAACAATAGAATCAACATAACTAAAAGTTATGTTGTAAAAATTAGTAAGTGACATGCATATTTATAATAAAACGTTAATTATCACAAAGGCATTAAATATTATTGTATTATGTTGAATATACTATAAATGTATTACTGCAATAAATATATATGGTATTTATGTTTATTATTGTACATCATAACCCTTATCCCTACTTTAGTAGAGTATTAACATATGTGTTTGTTGTATACATTAACATTATATTTAATAAAATTAATATATGTATATATATATGTATTATTTACATATATTACATATATTATATATATAAATGCATTTGTGTTATGTACTTTTATACTATATATATATATATATATATATATATATATATATATATATATATATATATATATATATA